GAAGCATTTGAAGACTTCCCTGCATGAGATAATTCCCTTAAGACTACCAGGGACAGGAAATTCCCGCAGGAAACCCTTTGCCGATTCCGTTGCCATCTTTTATATATTGGACAGAACCTGGTGTCCTCCTTCACCTGTGTTATTCACCCACACCATACCTAAATCTGCTGCCTCTGTTTAAAATCCAATCCAATTCCAAACATTATCACGGAGATAGTGCACTGGAAATCTAACCCTGCCACTCCAGCACTTGTCACAAAAGGTAAAGTTTCTAAAAAAAAATATACAAAATGGCCAAGCTTTTCAGACCCCAGTTGACTGACAGGACAGACTTGGTTTCTGTACTAAACAAGAATCACTATTTGTTACAGATAATTAGATTAACCTTGTGAGGAAAGTCTACAACTAAACCCCTTATAAACACACCCCCTCCCCCAAACACACACACACACACACACACACACACACACACACACACCTCCATAGTCTTTGTTCACATAATCTGATGAGCTGGTTCCTTCTGATTTGAAGCTCTCTCCTCAAACTTCCTTTTCCCCAATGATTCCACTGGTTTGCAAGAGTCACGGTGGGGTTGTTGTGGGGGCTGGTGCGTTGGTGGTGGTTGGGGGGTGCGGTTGTGGTTGCTCTGACTTCTCTCTGTCTTGCTGACAGCCCAAGGTATTCAACTAATTGACAACCAATCACCTTGTTGCCAGGCACAGGACATTTGTCATTGATAATTGGTCCCTGGTCCACAAATCAATTAGCTTCACCTGTAAACAACACCTCGGCTGAAGAAGGGTCACTGGACCCGAAACATTAACTCTGTTTTTTCCTTCACAGATGCTGCCAGACCTGCTGAGCTTTTCCACCAACTTTGTTTTTGTTCCTGATTTACAGCATCCGCAGTTCTTTCGGTTTTTACCCTGGCTCCAGTTCGTCTGCAAATTCCTGGAACCCACAGCTACACAAATAGAGTTTACAATAGCCATTAAATTTGTTATTTCACAACATGCCGCTATCCTTCTTGGTCTGTCATTTAAAACAGCTCTTTTTCATTTCAGTCCACAGTTTTTAAAAAGCACAAAATTAAAAAGAATGGTCTTTACAGACTTCTCTTTACTCTCAACTTTAAGAAGATCCCTGCTAACCATCTCACATGATTTTCCCAACTTTCTCATCAGGTTACTCAGAGGCCAGGAGGATTCCACCCTTGGTGAACAGAAGAGAGACCAAGAACGCAAAAGACTAGAGACTGGAGAACAACAGATCAGCACGGGATGATTCCTAAACTGCCCAGAATTATTTTGCTCTTTATTCTCTTTTGTTGCTGGCAAGTCCAGCACTCGTTGCCCAACCCTAATTTCCCTTGAATGGAAGAGCTGGATGGAACCTTTCAGGTGGCAGGTAAGAGCTAGCCACATTGCTGTGGGTCTGGAGTCACATGCAGGCCCAGTCCAGGTAAGGATGGCAGACCTCCCTCACTAAAAGAACACCAGATGAGTTTTTACAACGATCCTCATCATGGTCCTCATTCTTAACAAAAGCTTTTTATTCCATATTTAGTAATTAAAATTAAACTTCACAAATTGCTGCAGTGGGACCCATTTCTCGACAGCATTACCTTCAGTCTCTAGATTACTAGTCCAGTGACATTACCACTACACCATCGTCAGTCTCCACATCAACCTCCCTCAGCTCCCCCACTCTTCCTGCTCACATTTGGGTTGCTAACATTAATGGGATTAAATCTCTTTCAATGTGCTGCTACTGATTAGGACCACAGAAAACACAGATGAATTGAAATTCTACATTCCATTGTACAGGGCACAGGGAAGGGCAATATGACCAGTCTAAGTGTGAAAGGAAGAATTATAAGGAAAGACTACAGAAGCATAAGTTATAAAGTCTTGAAGTAAGGTGCTTATTGAAAGATCTGACTGAAGTATTCAAGATGTTAAATAATCTAGATTAAACTTATCTCCCTAATTACTTCAAAGTATGCCAGGATATTGAGGAGAAGAGAACAAAAATAGAGATTAGTGAAAGATAAATTTGAAGTGGATCTGTTGGAATGAATATGTGAAATATTTGAAGTAATTTGACAGGAATATAAATCACTGAGGTGTTTCAATATGTAGCAGAATGTTGTGCTGGGAGAGATAGGGTAGCAGAGTAATGGAGTTCAATGAACTGAACCTGCCTCTGACTATTTTCATGCATGGCTAAGTTGACATATTTGTTTGTTATTGTGTTATTATTATCAAGGCCACTAAATGTGGGAAGAGTGAACGTGGCATCCCTTGTCTGTATCAGGTATATCTCAAAAACTAATCAACAGGTCTCAACAAAACTCAGCAGGCAGTAAGAGTACAGCACAAGGAAGAAACAGTTAGCTTTTGGAAAAGATGCAGGTCGGGATTGGGATCTTAGATTTTTTTTAAAGCCTTTGTTAACATTGAGAATTAGGGCACATGGACTTAATTTTTTAAGCTGTTGCAGATTGTGCTACTTAAAATGTCTTATCTTAGATACCATGGTGCAATTTGTCACAGTTGTCAAAATAGGATCAGAGTTTTCAAAGCAGGTTATTGGAAGTGGATTGGCTTGAAGCTTTCTCAGTGAGAAAGAAGTTCTTTATGAAAATGGACATTTTTCAGTTTTGCGGTTACAGGGCCATAACTAGAAAGAGAAACATCTCAAGGAAAAGAACCTGCAGTTTTAATAATATTGAGTTAGCACAGTATGGTCAAGCAATGCACTCTATTGAGTGCCCTTGTCTTATTTTGAGGAAAACCCATTTATATCACACTTCATCATGGTCATCACCTTCTTAAATTCCTCAAAATACAATGAATTCATTTGAAGTAAAGCATCTGGCCATCTGTGTAAGATGGACTGCTACATTGCACATAGCAAGATCCCAGAAACAAAAAGATGGATGAATAAGTAATGCTGTAGGTTTGGTTGGATGGGGAAATGTTGTCAGAATCTTTTGACATCCACTGGAACAGACAAATCCACTGTATCTGCAAGACAGCACCTTCACAACAGCAGCCGAGCTTCAATATGACACTAAACTGGATTGTGTGCTCACCTCCAAGAATGGAACTTGAACTAACCACAGCCTTCTGACCCAAGGATTGTAGTCAAGTTAGGTCTGTGTAACTGCTTCAGGCCAAATGGACCTGCCAAGAACTTCACTTCTTAAAGCCAATGCATCATTTTTGAGCCAAGGCATACAACTTGCATCCTGTTACGTAACTTCAACTCGAAGTATCAAAGAGTATTTTCCAGTTAACTCGGCACAACTTCAAAGTTAGCTATTCTTACAAAAAGACAGGAAGACTCCTGCCCACTACTATTCACTGTCCTGCTAATATCAGGCAAGAATGAGCAAATGATTGTGTCTCGTTTTAACATAGTTATCATTAAGGGTTCCAGCAACCAGACAGAATGCACAGCACATTAAACTTAGTGAATGGGAGGATTTCTCAACTGTAACATGCACTGTAGTTGCTCATGCGGTCCTTTCAATTCACAGCACGGACTATGTAAATTTCACATCGTCATCTGAGCCATCTTCCAATGTGAGCTCTTTAGTCATCTGCCTTGTTGATTGGCTCACTATTTCAATATTTCCATAAAGGTTTAAGGTGTCATATATGTTTCTTAGCCCTTCCAATCCCCATCCCTCCTAAACAAAATCCATCCACAAGAAGGGGTGGCAGTGTGGTTAGCACTGCTGCCTCACAGCACCAGGGACCCAGGTTCAATTCCAGCCTCAGGTGACCATCTGCGTGGAGTTTGCACTTTTTCCCCATGTCTGTGTGGGTTTCCTCCAAGTGGCCTGGTTTCCTCCCACAATCCAAAGATGTGTAGGTGAGGTGGATTGGCCATGCTAAATTGTCCATAGCATCCAGGGATGTACAGGCTAGGTGGATTAGCCATCAGAAAGACACAGGTCTGGATTGGAATCTTAGATTTTTTTGGACAGTATGTGCACAGTCGATGGGCTGAACTGCCTTGTGTTGTCGGGATCCTATGATTCTAAGACTCCTCAAACCCTAAAATTATCTTAAATCCTGAACTGCTATTTAGAAGAAAATGGATTAGTGCAGCAGCTTCCAAGCCTGAGTCACAATGCCAACTGGGATCACAGAAAGAGCAAATTGGGTCATGAGAAATAACATGATGTTAATCCCTGGCTCCCTTGTATTGTCCCAGCAGTAACCAACTACAACACAAACAACCATGTTCTGATCAGGCATGCCATGACGTAACTTATCTATGTAAATATACATCCTGCAGTGGCTTCTCCCAAGAGTTGATGGAGGCAGATGTGGATCCAGCTTCTAGCAGCAGACTTATCGTAAAAGGCTGAGGGTTTTCATCACAAATTCACATATTTATAGCTTATAGTATATGCTGACCCACAACTGACAAACTTTAATAATTATATCCAAATGTTATTATGTTGCTTTAATGCTGTTCTGTTTTTGTTGGTATTTGGACTCTAACTCAAACTGTTAAAAAATAGGGTTGTTTTGGAGAATAATTTGTGAAGTACTGGTTTAGCAGATTGCCCATATATTTTCACTTCTCGGACTGGGTTTGAGTCCCCGTCAGACTGTTGAAATAAACATTGCCCAGAGTGTTGAGTTGGAATGTTATGTAATAGCAAGTTTAGTCACACTAAATGAAGGAATGAATCAATCATTCACGTGGTGTCCATAACACAAAACATAATTTACAATTTTAGTCAAATCACAGGAGTTTGGGGCAGAAATGCAGTAGTATAGATGGTGGATTAATGACAGGACATGGGGCCTGAGCCTTTACCATTCAATATTCTGGGTTTACGTTCTAGTGTATAGTGTCACACCCTTTACTGATGTACTTCACCTTGTATTACTCCATAATAGATAGTGACAATAGCTTTTGCAAAGTAGATGAAGCAGAAGTCTGCAGGGAAGCAGTGAAATCAAAACTTTGCTTACCTTTAGGGTTGGCAGTAAGAACGTCCTTCGCTATAGCAACTTTTCCAATGACATCATCACGGCTAAATTTAAACGATAAAGATACGAAGTTAGCAAGACCATTGTTGTTTAATATTGCAGTACAAGAATCCGCATTAAGCTAGGAATTAATATTAAAATTACCTGATTGCATCCTCATCCATCACATAGAAGGAAATGGAGTGGAAGGTACTGGGGAGATGGACATTGTACTCTTCTCCCCAAAATGGAGACAGGGTCTTCCATATTGTTGCAGTTCTATGGAAATAAATATTGCATGTTCTCAAAACACTGCCATTGCAACCTTAAGGGCTCACTCACCATTTTCTACAGGGCCCTGCCTCATACATAAAAAGCAAGTTCCTACTGACAACTGTTGTAAGGCCTCTGCAGCTCTTTCCTCTTCTCCAGCCAAGGTCTGAATGTCTAGTAACGTGGTGCTCTCTAGTTTCTCATCCACATAAGGGTCAGCCTGGATCTTAAGTGCTGGCAGCTTGACCAATGGACTAAGAATTTATAAAATCATGAGGGGCACAAGATAAGGTGAATAGCAAAGGTCTTTTCCCTTGGGTAGGGGAGTTCAAATCTAGAGGGCATAATTTTAAGGCGAGAGGGGAAAGATTTTAAAGAGACCAGAGGAGCAACTTTTTCACCCAGAGGGTGGTTCGTATATGGAATGAACTGCCAGAGGAAGTGGTAAATTCAGATAGATACAATATTTAAAAGGCATTTGGACAGGTACATGAATAGGAAAGGTTTCAAGGGATATGGACGAAACACAGGCAAATGGGACTAGTTTAGTTTGGGAAACATGTTTGGCATGGACGAGTTGGACCGCAGTGTCTGTTACTGTGCTGTATGATTCTATGAATCAATGAAACAGTCAGGATCTGGAACTGAGTCTGAGACCTTCAGGTTCATTAGGGCTCATTGATCTAGTTTTTGAGGCATTGGAACTGGCAGCTTTTTTACTGTCATTTTCAAATAAAAGGTGTTTTATTTTGCATTATCAGAGGAATGTGATGTTAAGAAAGGGAACTAAATTAAATCCTCATTGCACCAGGCCCTCAATAAGTAGAATTGAATTTGGCCAAGGTTGGTCTACACAGAAATGGTTTGTAATGGTTTGAAGATGGCAAAAAGATAAGAACCAGCAGGATAGTGGACTCTGATTCCAAACCTGCTGAGCTCCAATCCACAGTGACTGCACCAAAACTGGGCGGTGCCTGCAACCAAGCTGTTCTGATCACCGTGACAACCAAACCATCCAAACTCAGGGGGAAGAGCGAGCTGTGAAGCTGATCTCCAATTTCAGTAGGTAACGTTAGGAGGCGCAAACTGAGGAACAATGGCTATTCAACGAGTGATGAGAAGGCAACCTGGAATGGACTCCATAGAAGTTTGAGACGTTCCGTAAATGCAAAGGAATGAAGAGGAAACATACTTACGTGTGCACTAAGACATATAGCCTGAAGGCTGGGAAAATTAGGCAGGGCACAGCCTAACGCTTAGTTAGAAAGTGGGTGACAGATCAAGATCCATAGCATTTAACAACAAATGATATTATAATGGGTCAAAGAGACTTTGCTAACTGCACCAAGAATCCAACCCTCCTGATACAGCAGCCACTCCAAGCACTGACAAAGATGTCCTTCCCTAAGTGGTCCTAGGCTCCAGCTCCTGCCCTCTACATTCTCCGCCCACGCTGCTCCTCAACTATCTCCTATGCATCTGTCCAGTGCTCCCAGGCCTTCGTCTTGCCTCCCACTTCACCCGAAAATCTTCCCTAGCCCCGTTCCCTTCCCGACTCATAGTACTCTCCACTTTCAACGTGTTCCCATTCAAATGTGACCAGTAACTTCATAACTTCATTTCCTCTGTACAAGTGAGAAGACATCCTGTTTAGAGAGAAGTCCAGGCTCGAAAATGGGTTCTGAACCTTTACCATTCTGTGGTGTGGGTTTTAGCCCTAGTACACACTGTTACACTCTTTACTGATCTGTCTGTCCATTGGGCTAATACTCAATAAACCGTGACAAATGCTTCTGCAAAGTAGAGGAGGCAGCAGTGCACAGGTATGAATCGAACTGAACAAAGTGGTTTGTCAGCCTGGTCAGGGGTATTATTTGGTGACTGTTGGGTTGAGGGGTCATTGCAGTGTAGCCCACCAATCCTGAAGGGCTGTCCCTGAAAGTATCAAGCTCAACTTTTCCCACGAGGCTGGTGTCCCAATGCTGACCTGCAGCATGAGGATCATGGCAGCTCAATGTCAAGGCACCTTTAAAGGCTGATTCGTGCTTCGGGGACTAACTTGCTGTCCCAACTCAACTGGGGAAGAGGTGTGGCTCTTGATTGGGCCTTTAAAAGGCTCACAACACTCAGTGGGCAGCTCTGCTGCCAGGGCTCCTGCCACTGGACAACATGATTCAGTGCCAGGAAGACACTAGGCTTTCCTCCTGACTCCTTCCTCCCACTGGATTCCCAGCCCTCACAATTCCCAGTTCATCTCCAAAAGGCTGAGAAAATGTAGCCCATGGTCTCTGAAATGTACATCAGCTGCATCAGTGAAGTGTGCACGGGAGAAATACCAACTCAGGTATTTGGCTCATCGGTGTTTGCCATTTGGAGCTGAACGGAATGGTGGCTATTATTTAAGGGAAATATTATTTTACAGAAGATCTTCAGAAATGACAGTCAGGCCATCTATATTTATTGGTCAGACCATTATATACCAATCTTAAAGAGTCTTGTGAAAGTTTAAGATATGTTAGATTGTGACTCCATTTAAGCACAAATTAGAAGTGCAACTTGAAATCTAGCTGCAGCAAGAAGTGTTTTGAAATGTTGTACATATTAAAAACTGACTGAGACAAAGGAGCCTCATGTCCAGCTATAAGGCTTGTTTGCCTTGCCTTTCAAATGTTTTGAAGATGTAATGAGTGATTTAGGAATTTAGTTCACACAATATCATTTCTCAATTTAAGAGTAGATTAAATGGCTGGAGTGTGTTATGTGATCAACCTTAAAGAGCATGTAAAGAGTATGAAATCAGACTGAATGAGATTGTGAAACCAGTCAAAGTGCACGGTGACTGTGTGGGGAGTAAAACATTCTCCAATCTAGTCCATTTTCAGAACTTTTCTGCATTTGTTTGGGGAAAGGTAATAAACTCGATTTGAAGCAGCTGAATGTTTGTATTAAATAACATTTTGAGGAGGCACATGAATGGATTAAAAGGTCAGCCATTTAGATCGACAGTATCCATTCTGTGTGTACATAACTCCACCAGAGATTAAAAGCTACCCAATTGGGTCTAATCCGTTAAGTAAACATACTGTCCCTATGGCACATTCAGAGGCCACAGTGACTGTAAACCACCATCACATCATTCAATTGCCAGGAGCACATTTTCACAGTACAAGTAATGCTCTCAGTTCCTTGGATTGTACAGCCAGTGCTGTGCATTTCTTGAATGTTAGAAGCATCAATCTTTCAAGGATAAAGGATGAGATTTGCTCCCGGTAATGACTGAACAGAATATGAATTGATTCAATGCAGTTCCTCAGTAAAGTTAGGTTAGTCGGTTGCCCAGACATGAGTCACTGAGAATTCACTGCCATGACAGATATTGCTTCAAGGTATCAATTCTAAAAGATGTGAGAGGATGCAGCGATCCCAAAACTAGTATTTCTGTATTTAGGATAACAAAGTGTAGAGCTGGATGAACACAGCAGGCCAAGCAGCATCAGAGAAGCAGGAAAGCTGACGTTTCAGGCCTAGACCCTAACAATTAGTAACTCCGTTCAGTAGGGACTCCAAGTTGCAAGCCACCACTACAGCACACTGTAGTTAGAATCTCCATCATTCTGTATTCTACACACTCCTCATTTGCTCTGGATTCTATACCATTTCTTCTCAACAGAATTGCTGTGAGAAGTGAAACCACTATCATAGATACACCCGAAAGTGGACTCTACAAAAAACAGTAGTGCCAAACCACTTACATCGCAACAAAACCTACCATCAGACTTTGAGATGCTCAAAGTATATACTGTATCTGTATCTGAAAATGGCAGTGACTGGTAAGTTATTAATGAATTCCTTTTTGTCTGAGTCAGTAATAGGTTTGAATTCTCACCAACAACCCCATGTAATCCCTTCAGCCTGTTTCCATTCTGATGCAACACAGCCAGGTATGGCAACTGCTATGTCCATGACCGCAAGAAACTACAGGCAGCTATGAACACAGCCCAGGCCGTCACCAAGCCAACATTCCATCCATTGACTCCTCTATACTTCCCGCTGCCTCGGGAAAGCAACAACATAATCAAAAGCCCCCTCCTATCCAAGTTATAAATCTCTTCCAATTTCTTCCGTTGGGCAGAAGATACAAAAGTTTAAACACATGTACCAACAGATTCAAGAACAGCTTCTTCCCTGCTGTCATCAGACTTCTCGAAGGACATCTCTGATTTCAAATTTAATGTTATCTCGCTCTGTGCACCTTCTCTGCAGCCGTAGCACTGTATTCCTCACTTTGTTCTATTACCCTAATGCACTTTGTGTATAATCTGCCTGTACTGCATACAAAACAAAACTTTTCACTGTACCTGGGTACATATGACAATAATAAATCAAATCAAATCAACACTTCACGGTGCAGGTCCAAATATACATGCACAGCAAACCCCACACAACTCAACAGATATACACAGCCCCAATCTCACAGGAACCCAGAACACATGCAAACACCACTGTCCATTGCCCTACAGTGTTGCTTTGAACAGGTTCGACCGTGCACCTACTGAAGTTGTAACATCAGCTCCATTGTTATTTCCAATTCCAACCTTAGTTAGCGCTGTTGCAACTGTTTTGGTGCTGATCAATATCTCGGTTTATTCTACAAAAAATTGTTGGGAGTATTTTTACAGCACATAAAATTACCAATGTGAACATGGGGACAACTGGAAAAGATGCCAGTCACTTAGGTATCTATAATTTTCACAGTTATCCAAAAGGGGCAATGAGTAAACTCAGCAAAAGACATCTTGACCTCCAGCCTGTACTACAGGCAGATTGTGCTCACGCTGTGTAAACACACAATCCTAGGCAGCGCCGAGCTTCTCAGATTGGAATCAAATATTATAAACAGTAACACAAGCCAAAGAATAGTTTCAAGGCTGTAATGTAAGCTTTGAAGATGATTATAACTTACATGTGCCTCCTTTTATGTTTATGTGCATTCCTAACACACATTGTTACAAAGGACACAAGTCTAGATTCAATAAATTAAATAATGAAACAAAATGACACGAAATAAATGAAACGGGATGATGAATTAGCTGTTTAAAGGACAGGCAGCAGCTGATCCGAGCTTCAATGTCAGGAGGGGGCAGTGACAGGGGCCAAGGCAGTATTGGTAACACCTGACCCTGCCATCCATAAGTGCATCTTTAATTGTGTGTCCGTGCGTGTGTGTCCATGCATGTGTGTGTCTGTGTGTGTGTGTGTGTCTGTGCGTGTGCGTGAGATACTGAACAGAGTAAACTCAGCCAAGTGCCCCAGCACTAATTCCTGCCCAGGTACGTGTACCCTGCTGGAATATGAAAGTTACATTGTCTCAGTGTTGATCTCAGACCTGATGATCTCTCCTTTGTCCCAATAACCCACAACTGTGATCAAAGCTAGCAGACAGAATAGGTGACCCACATGTGGTCTCCGTAGAACCAGAGTGCACCATGTCACTATCGTTTGTCCAAGAGGGCAAAAACCGCCAGACAAATGGGGACAGAAAGACAATGCAAAGAATAGATCTTTACAGTTAGCCTTCCTACAAAGCAAAAACAAATTCCTTACCTGATAATTGTCTCATTGTCGATTCGTACAATGCAGTATGGATCACTGCTTCCTGTCCTGAAAACAGACAAAGAACTGAGCTGAGTATTTCTTGTTTGCATCAGTGTTACTGTCTACAAAGATGATGCTCAAGCATAAATTAAACAAGTTCTTCCAACTCATCACAAGTTGCTCACAGGAAAAAAGACTTCATAAAGGACACCATCACTCCCCTCAAACATATTTAAGAAATTTCAGAGATTGAATTATACCATGATCTTATTGTAAGGGTAACAATGGGATCTGTTTTGTACATAGCACAATCCCATAAACCCCAATGAGGTGAAACATGAGTTAAATCACTGTTATTGGTATAGGTTGAAGAAAGAATTCAAACCAAGATATCAGAAAGAGTTCCTTACTTATATTCCAAAAGGATGACAGTCTCAGTTTGCAATCTCATCCAGAACCTCAATATCAGCTCAATTGTATGTTCATGGAGACATGTAATAACTAACAAAATGTACATTCAGTACAAATGGGCTCATTTGGTGCTGTCCTACTTTAAGAATGAATGAAAACATCTTAAAGCATTTCAATGGTGGGGTGTGTGTCTGTGTCTGTGTGTTTCTGCATTTGTGGGGGTCTGGTGATGGTGGGAGGCAAGACAGCTAATTGTGATAACTAAATCAATAAGTCTGGTGCAAAAAGTTACAGAAGTGACCAAAATTCTGGGTTGAAAAGGTGGCTTTTGAGAAGAAATTTTCAAGAGGTTGAAAACCAAAAGGAGAAACAGAGAGAGAGAGAGAGGGCGGGCATATGGGAGGGACCCGGCGGGGGGTGGGGGGGAAGACGCCATAGATTGGTGGCTTTTGGGAATGATTCCAGGGAAGAGGCTGGAATAGTTTTAAGAAAACAAATGTAACTGTGAAAGGAGGACTGAGATGAGGAGGAATTTTACTGAGATGAGGAGGAATTTCTTCAGCCAGAGGGTGGTGAATCTGTGGAACTCATTGCCACAGAGTGTTGCGGGGGCCAAGTCATTGATATTTAAGACAGAAATGGATAGATTATTGATTAGTAACAGGATCAAGTGTTACGGTAAAGGCAGGAGAATGGGGTTAAGAAACATATCAGCTATGATCGAAAGGTGAAGCACACCAGACGGGCTGAATGTCCTAAATCTGCTCCAATATCTTTACGGTCTTAAGCTATCAGTTTTCACCTATTATTCACATACTGTCCTCAGGAAGTAACTTTGAAACAATTGCCTGCGGAAGTACGGCTTTGTGCGTTAAAGAAGCAATGATGACAGCATAGCTTGTTTACAATCTAGCTTACATTGTTGGCTTGAGCAACCTGCTTGTTGAGAAGGAACCCATACAGCAGTGGCTGTGCTTTACTTGGAAAAGGTTATTATTTTAAGACAAGAGTGAAATATTCATGTAAACATTGGAGATTCAGTACAGCAAAAAATGTTACATTAAATAAAATTTGAAATCCAATGGAACAGGTGATAGTCATGTTAATAAAGGATTACATGGGGCTGAATGGAATATATTAATAATGGGAACTAGTCATCCGTGGAGGATAAGTTTTGTTTAATGTGGATTTGAACTCTGATTAAATACAGTTATCTTCTATTGTGTAACAATAACAAGTGAGGAGGTAATGGCCTAGTGGTATTATTGCTGGACTGTTAATCCAAAGACCCAGATAACATTCTGGGGACCCAGGTTCAAATCCCACCACGGCGGAATTTGAATTCAACAAAATATCTGGAATTAAGAATCTAATGATGACTATGAATCCATTGTCAATTGTCAGGAAAAGCCCATCTGGTTCACTAACATCCTTTAGGGAAAGAAACTGCCATCCTTACTTGGTCTGGCCTACATGTGACACTAGACCCACAGCAATCTGGTTGACTCTGAACTGCCCTCTGGGCAATTAGGAATGGAAAATAAATGCTGCCTAGCCAGTGATGCCCTCATCCCGTTAATGAATAAAAAAAAAGGATTGTGTATTTGTGAGGCTTCCCACAGTGCAGTGTGCTCAGATGATTAATTAAGAGTCAAGTTTAAAGTACAGGTTTTGGATGAGCAGAGGACTTAAGGACTTCCAGACGTAGTACATGAATTGTTGACTTGGTTCTGGTGTCAGCAATGTCCCCTGGAGATGTGGTTCTCCTTTTATATAAATGAAGGCCATGTAATACAAAACAAATTGGAGGATTAACTATTCTAAGGAGATTAGATTTCCCTGGACTAAGAGCTGAAAACACCGGGCACATAGTGAGGCTTATATCCACAGCTTGAAATTACATTTTTTTTTTGACCTCAGACCTCTTTAATTTAAAGGACAGAAGATTTAAATGCTTTAAAGGCTAATGGTTACTCAAAGCTTACCCACATTTTATGCACTTTCATTTATGTTCTTAACAATCCCAAACGGCTCCATACCTCTCCCAAAGGGACACCTGACATATCCACGAAAGAATACTCTACCTCTCCAAACAACTGTGGCAGCATGAAACCTTTTTCTCAAAAATCTAAAGCTCGCAGGCTGTGATTTGGACAGCACACAAATGAAAACTGTATTTAGCTAAAGGTTATTGCATGAGCAAACCACAACCCACGCCCAAGCCCTCGCTGACAAGTATTGTGTGCCGTATTCAGGGGGGGTGGGGGCATGTTTCCAGAATCAGAGCTCATAGAGTCAGAGAGATACACAGCACAGAAACATACCCTTCGATCCAACATCCATGTTGACCAGGTATCCTACATAAATCTAGTCCCATTTGCCAGTATTGGCCCATATATCCCTCTAAACCCTTCCCATTCATATACCCATCCAGATGCCTTTAAAATGTTGTAATTGTACCACCTTCAAACACTTCCTCTGGCAGCACATTTCCATACACACACCACCATCTGCGTGAAAAAGTTGCCCTTAGGTCCCTCTTAAATCTTTCCCCTCTCACCTTAAACCTATGCCCTCTAGTTTTGGGTCCTACCCCCATCCCACAGAAAACACCTTGTCTATTTACCCTATCCATGTACCCCATGATTTTATGAAACTCTATAAGGTCACCAGGGAGAATAGTCCCAGCCTCTCCCGACAGCTCAAACCTCGGCAACATCGTTGTAAATCTTTTCTGAACCCTCTCAAGTTTCACAACATCCTTCCTGTAGCAGGGAGACCAGAATAGCACTCAGTATTCCAATAATGGCCTAACCAATGTCCTACACAGCTGCAACATGACCTCCCAACTCCTATACTCAATGCACTGACCAATAAAGGCAAGCAAGACCAAACGCTGCCTGCACTACCCTGTCTACCTGCAACTCCACTTTCAAGGATCTATGAACCTGCACCCCAAGGTCTCTTTGTTCAGCAAAACTCCCCAGGATCTTACCATTAAGCGTATAAGTCCTGCCTTGATTTGCCTTTCCAAAATGCACCTCACATTTATCTAAATTTAACTCCATCTGCCACTTCTCGGCCCATTGGCCCATTTGATCAAGATCACCTTGTACTCTGAGGTAACCTTTTTCACTGTGCACTAAACCTCCAATTTTGGTGTCATCTGCCATCTGACTAATCATACCTCCTATATTCACATCCAAATCATTTATATAAATGACAAAAAGCAGCATACCCAGCACTGATCCTTGGGCACATTGCTGGTCACAGGCCTCCAGTTTGAAAAGCAACCCTCCACCACCACCCTCTGTCTTCTACCTTCAAGTCAGCTCCATGTCCAAAAACCTGGTTCTCACTCTATTCTCTGTGATCTAACCTTGCTATCCAGTCTACTGTGAGGAACGTCGTCAAACGCCTTACTGAAGTCCATACAGATCATGTCCACCGCTCTACCCTCATCAGTCTTCTTTGTTGCTTCTTCAAAAAACTCAAGTAAGTTAGTGAGACACATTTTCCCACGCATAAAGCCATGTTGACTATCCCTAACCAGACCTTCCCTTTCCAAATACATGTAAATGCTGTCCGTCAGGATTCCTTCCAACAACTTGTCCACCACCGATGTCAGGCTCACTGGTCTACAGTTCCCTGGCTTTTCCTTACCACCTTTCTTAAATAGTGGCACCACGTTAGCCACCCTCCAGTCTTCCGACACCTCACCCGTGGCTATCGATGATACAAATATCTCAGCAAAGGGCCCAGCAATCACTTCCCTAGCTTCCCACAGAGTTCTAGGGTACATCTGATCAGGTCCTGGGGAATTATCCACCTTTATGCAATTTAAGATGTCCAGCACCTCCTCCTCTGTAACATGGACATTTTGCAACATGTCACTATTTATTTCCTCACATTCTCTATCTTCCATATCCTTCTCCACAGTAAATACAAATGCAAAATATTCATGCAGCGTCTCCCCCATCTCTTGTGGTTCGACACACAGGTGGCCTTGCTGATCTTTAAGGGACCCTGTTCTCTCCCTAGTTACCCTTTTGTCCTTAATATCTTTGTAGAATCCCTTTGGATTCTCCTTAACCCTATTTGCCAAAGCTATTTCATGTCCCTTTTTGCCCTCTTGATCTCCTTCTTAAGTATACTCCTACTGCCTTTATACTCTTCTAGGGATTCACTCGATCTCTACTGTCTATACCTGACATATGCTTCTTTCTTATTCTTAACCAAAACCCCAATTTCTCTAGTCATCCAGCATTCCCTGCATCTACCAGCCTTGCCCTTCACCCTGATGGGAACATACTGTCTCTGGACTCTATCTCATTTTTGAAGACTTCCCATTTTCCAACCGTCCCTTTACCTGTGTACATCTGCTCCCAATCAACTTTTGAAAGTTCTTGCCCAATACTGTCAAAATTGGTCTTCCTTCAACTTAGAAATTCACCTTTTAGATCCTGTCTATCCTTTTCCATCACTATTTTAAAACTAATACAATTATGATGTGGAGTTGCTGGTGTTGGACTGGGGTGCACAAGGTCAAAAATCACACAACACCATTTCTGAAGAAGGGTCTAGACCCACTTCAGAGACTTAGAAAGCTTGTGTCTTCAAATAAACCTGTTGGACCATAACCTGGCATCGTGTGA